GGAAGTATCTCGCCAATTAGTTCTTCAACACAAATTTATGATGCTAGCAGTTCAAATAACCCTTCTGAATATATAAATCATGGCAAGTTGATTTGCTCTGTTTGGCAACATTAATTACTGTTTGATTTTATTTAGGGCCTGTTTGTTTTTTATTCTCAAATTCTACAGTAAATCAATTCTCATTTTCAATCACACATTCTTCAATAAAATAATATTTTGCATCACAACAATAATTTTTTCTTCTTTTTCAACCACACATTTCCCATTATATCATTATTCAAAAATCAATTATTCCCCCAAAAATCTCTACCAAACGAGCACTATTTTGGTTCAGCAATTTCAGTTTATATTTGTTTCTATCTTGAGGCTATGTATTCTTGTTCACCGTGGAATGGGATTTGTTGGTTGTCCTGCTTTGATCCAGACAATGCCTAAGAAGCCCTGACTCAATATTCTGATGCAATCTATCTGTCCATTTCTTTCTCTCTGTCTACTATACATTTCTTATTTAATTTTCCTGCTGAATCTTCTACCAGCAAATAAAATTATTACTGTGGAGAAGGAAAATATATTCAATTAGACTGGTGGCACTTTGTAGTGTGCTAATTAATTACTTGTAACCTGCGATAGCTGCAATTACTTGTTTGGATGAGGTTTACTTAGTTTTTTATGGATGATTTTGATCTTACAATGAAAGGCTTTGGCTGTAGGTCTTCTTCTCTGGAACCAAACTAGACAGAAGTGGATAGGAAATAAGAAGTCAGAGAAATTGCCGCAGAAGCTTCATGAACCCAGGTTGAGGTGAGTTGATTTCATTGTTCACAATTTAAAGAGTGACAGTGTACAAGGTGCAACGAACATAAATAGATCAACTCATAAATAAGTAATTTACAAATTTGAAAATAAGGTCCCCGCTTACTTAAATGTTTACTTATACGACAACAACAAAAGAAGCCTTGTAGTCAACAAATTTGGAGTTGGGTCCATTGATTTTAGAAGCTTCTTAAAAGTGGTACTGGTTGGAGAATTAGTTTGAAGGTTTATTTTTTGTGTGCTTTGATGCTAAATCAATTTAATAACCCTTTCTTGGGAAGTGAAGAAAGAGGAATATCACAGAATTGCCCTCGCGCTCTCTATGCATAGATACCAATGATCCATTTGTCTTCGTAAATAAGGTCCTATGCTGTGATGACCATATCTTTATTTATTTATTTATTTTTTTCGAGAAGAGGCCGTAGCTTTATTTGTTGTCAGCATTTTATGCTTCCGCATTGCTAAAAAGTGCCGGCTTTGCAGTTGGAATGCAACCTATGATAGTTTACTCAGCAGCAACAAGCCATTCCCCAAGCCGATTCCTCTGGCTGTGAGTCTGATTGCATAATGTGGTTTTATTTTGTTCACTAATCATTTCATTTATCTCATTATTTCACTTTGAATTGGCAGGAAATGGTAGATTTTTTAGTTGACATTTGGGAGCAAGAAGGGTTGTATGATTGATATAGTATAAGTAGTAGATTTTGATTGCTGGTCGGATAGTAGGACTCACCACCGCTGTTTTAAAATGTTGAAGCTACTTAACAAATAGATGACTGCACAGAATGGCATGTTTGGTATGCTTCACTCGATAGCACTGAATAAGAATGAGTTGAAATTTTGACCATGTATTGTGCAGTGCTGTCTAATGTGTACCAAAGATACCAGAAATGTACTGTGAATTGAATATGTGCGCTATGATGCGTTTTCAATCGAGCACATTCATCACAAGTTATTGTGTTGTATAATAGAACTCATTGCCTTTGCCAGTCTTGGCAATGGATCTTTTCAACTTTTATTCATTGTATTTTTATATCGCGACAGTTTGCATATGAAACTTTCTATTGTTTTTTTTTTTAATAAGTATTTATAATCTATATTATTTCTCGACTAAGAGCAATAATCTCCATGATGGTCAAGAATATCTTGGTGAAGGCCTGATTCTTTATAAGTTGAGAAAAGTGATTTTTTATTAACTAAAAGGTAGTTGAACATCTCCCCTAGTTATGGCAAACAATTTACAACATGTTTGGCAAAGTCTAAATTATAACGTAAGATGACTAACATACTTTTATTTGTGTATTTTGTACTATTCAACTATTATTTACAAATTTTGCAGAATTTACAATTCATAAGCACTACCAATCACACACGCTAGGGTTTGTCTGAGCTTCATTTTTTGGAAAAATGAATTTTGTAATAGTATTTTTTGGAGAATGTGTGTAGTTAACAAGTACGTAAAAATTTTGAGATTACATGTGACATTATTTTATAGAGAAAACCATCTTCAGACCGAAAAAGTTATAAGTAACGTAACAATGAATCTATGGAGAGTCGATCTTGATAAATGCTGGTGACATACTTAATACATGTATAACGGACATAAAACAATGTTTTCAGTGACGAATGGATGCTGTAGGAGTGTAGGATGAGTCAACCCATTCCTTCCTACATATTCTAAGACTATGTTTGATAGTCCATCTTTTCCATGTCCATGGAAATGGTTGTTTACACGTGCACCAATTGCCCAAAATGAAGGAAATCATTTTCCCACC